CATTCACTGTGCAGACTTCTGTGCTGAAACAGAGTGTAAACTCAAACCTTTAAAGGCATATCTGTGTAGTCAGAACCATAGGTGCTTGCTTTCCGGGTCTCTCTGAGTTGAAGTTTTATGAGACTTCTTGTCCTGATGTGATCCTTTATTTCTGTTCTGGCCTTTAACCTTTTGCAGGTGATCTACTGATTCCCCCTCTTCAGAAGTTGATCCATTTGGGGACTGTGACTTTTTAAAGGTTTATAAGTTATCTGCGTGGGGGTGGATTTAATGAAAGTTACACAAATTTTACCACTTGCACCATGCCTCTTTCTCTGCCACTGAATCAAATTTCAGTCCTTTTCTTCAAAGCTTAATAGCACTAGAACTGTTCAAAGTATGAAATACCAGAATTCTTTAACAGGGACAAAATGGCACATCCTTTTTCAGCCAAACTGGTGCTGGAATGGTTGAACTTTATTAATCTAATTAAATACATTAATAAATAATGCTCTAAAGTAATGCTACTCAAAACATTTCAGTATGCCGATGTTAAAGCCACTGAGAACATATTTATATTGGGAAAGTCATACATATGTGGCTGTATGAACCGAACCTGTAATAACTTCTGTTTTGTGTCTCTGAAGACCATTGAAAGTCCTGAGAGGAAGTTGACTGAGGCAGTATTTTCAATGAACTGAACCATTTGCTGTATAGAGTCTTGGATTTCATTAAAAGCAGTTTAATGCTGCTATTAAACAATTCTTCCACAATCTCTTTTTAAACTATGAACATTTTTGAGTTTTAAAAGTATCTGCATGAAAATATTGCCTTGTTATTTGATGAAACAATACAAAATTTCTTCAAAGATTTATTGAGGTTTCTGTTCCTGAAATGGCAGAGCTAAGTTGCTTTGAATCCTAGCTATAACTAGAACACAAATAACTTTGATGTTTAAAAAAAAAAAAATCACAAGAGATTACAGATAAAATTAACATTGCTGGTATGAAGAGTTTTAGAGCCTTTTACCTCTTAGAATTCTAAAATTTGATGACATCAGACTAACCTAGTTTAGAAAATATTTGATGAACTTCTGAGAAAGAAGATAAACTGTGATCCTAAGTAAACTGCACTGGAAACATATGCTAGAACAACTTTGGGATTAACGTTTTATAACTTTACTACTTAGCTTGAAAAGTGTTACTATATCTTCGGATTCCATCCCTGTACTATTCCCACAGTGGATAAATTACCCCATACAAGAAAAGAAAAGAAAAAAAAAAAAAAAAAAGTAGGCACATAATCAAGTTGCATGAATTTTGCTCTTTTATACAACAAATTAGAAGTATATTCACCTCAAATCTTTTAGAGGTGGAGCAATATCCAGTATTTATTGCATTTTCCTTTCCTTCATTTTTATACGAAAATTAAGCAGTTTTTACATTTTTTTTAATGTTTTGGTAAAGGAAATTCAAAGAATCTGTCCAGTTCACTGTTGTTATACAGCCTTTCATGTGTGAAAGTTATGAGGACGTTAAGAATCAGCTATGAACCTGTCAAGTTATGCTACCAGACAAAAAGTTCACTTCCCAACTCTTTGTAGAAATGAAAGCTAAATATGACATCAGGAATAATTTACCTCAAGGCAATTTAAGGTATAGATTTACAGTGCATTAATATCTCTGTGGCAGGTGCACTCCTACATCATGAAGGGTATCTGACATTCCTGCACTCCTGCAGAGTAAACCTACTTTACCAGTTAATACTTTTGTGTACAGGCTTTTCCTGTGCTATTAGAAACATACTCTTTATGCTACACTAATACATGTGTACAAAGTGAACCATTTAAAGTACGGTTCTTTTGCATAACTTAACGCTAGTGAAATGCCTTCTAGTAATGTTCTTTGGTACAATTTTTTCACTACAGAACGGTCTTTTAACATTGCTGCAGTTCTCTACAGCACTTTCTTGTGGCTGTGCGTAAGAGGGCTCTGCAACCATTGTTGATATCTGCAGGAAGGAGTTCTGCTCCTGTCAGTGGATTTATCAGGAATTACAGATGGAGTAGAAACTACTTTGAAGTCATTATACCATTTGTGCTATCACATACTGATTTTACAGTAAAACTAGGCCACAAAACTGGAGTTGAGAGCGCAATTTGTTTTACTGAGCACTGTTAAAAACAGCATTATCAAATCTTTTGAGATGTTTCTGTCATCATGTACTGGTCTATCTCAAAGAAATAAAGCCCCACTTGCTCTCTTGACAGCACATAATAAATTGACTGATGTAGTTCAGTTGGGGAGTTAAAAACGCATTGAAAATAATGGGGCATAACATTCTAGGGTTAACATGTATTCATAGATGATGCAATTAAATAAAACAGGCATTAACTTCAAGGTCAGTCAGTAAAGTAATAAAAGTGAGTATTTTAATTGAATTGTAATTGCTTCCCATTGATACATGCAAGTTAAGTAAAGTAGATGTCAGTGCTGCAAATTATAGTTCCCTTCCTAATTAATTTCTTAATTCTACATACAGTCATCCAGGCCCTGAACCTTGTTGTTGGTTTATCCACCCATCCAGCTTTCTTCACATCTAGTTTCATGGAGAAAAAATCTGGAGGATGTGGTTAAATGGAATGTACTAAGAATTTACAATACATTGTTTTTCTTTTTAGTCTAAGTCATTTGAAGAATCTGAATCAGTCTATTCCTTTGTTTAAAGAAAAACATACCAAATAGAATTATAGAATATATTAACTGTTTCGTCAGTATGCTTATAGATACTTTATTATATTGATAGTAGCAGTAGACATACAGCTTCATCTGTACATGCATACTATTAGAGATTTGAGATGTGGATTACTGGTTCTGCAAATTACAGGTTGCATTGGTTCTTGATGCCTTTGGCAGACGGTCTCTATTCACTCACAATACAAACCTATTGGAAACTAAAGGAAATAATATTTTTCAAAAGAAAGACAAGCTATCCAAAAATAGAATTCTACTGAGAAACCGAAAGGGTACATTGCATTTTCACAGATTTTCATGTAGCTGTGGGATATTACTAAAGATTCTACCCACAGTGTACACATAGGCAATTAATTTTTATTTTGTATACTATTTGTATAATATTTTCTTTTAAATTATTATTTTGTGTTCATTAGGGGGTAGAACAGTAGGTATAGCCTTCTTAATATCAGAGAGAAGTTGTGAAAGAAATAATATGTTAGTGTGTCTGGTTCTGACAACTTTTTCCCTTCTTGCATGTTTGAAATGTATCCCTTGGTTTAAACTTAAAGGAAACCAATTTATTTTTACCAAGGAGAGGTGTTGCTTTTCTTAGAAAAGTAATTATGTGAATGAAGAATGTTAATGTACATGTGTGAAATGAGTACTGTAATATGGTACTTGTTTATTTTAGGAGAAAGTGCTTGTTTAGCCTAATACCTGTCCCATTAAAATCAAGGACATAATGCTAAGCTGGTGTAAGTTGGAAGACATCACCAGAATAATTGGAACTATTGAAATGAAATGAAGATGTTTCAGAGTGATTTCCACAAGCATAAATTATCATTACCTTCTATCTAGCAACACACATTTTAGTCTGTTGATAAAGAGCAATAAAACAATACCAAAAAAGAACAGAGGGAGGAAAAACCTCAGCCCTCTTTCACTTTAATTATTAAGCGGTTTTTAAAGCGTTCCCCTAGATAGGGAATTTTTAATGTGCTTTAATGAAATATTTAAAAACTTTATTAATGTTTTGAGATCTCATTCACTCTAACTTGTTTTAGTTTCACAGGAATTTAAATATACCAAGATCATCGTTGTAAAAATTAAAAGGCATATCAGCTATTTGAACTCAGCAGCGACTTTATATAATAGTATACCATACTTTTATATAACAGCTTTCATCATCAATGATCTGAAGTGCTTTGCAAGGTACATACTTCAGAAATTGCTTCTAAATGGAGTCATTCTGGTGGCAGCTCTTTAGTGATACCCATTATTATATAAAGCAGTAGAGTAGGAAAAAATAGACAAGTATTGTGATCAGTACAAAAAAAAAACCCAAACCACAATAATTAAGAGTAGTAAAAAACGTGATCACTGAAAATTTTCCAGTGTTCCTTCACTTTCAGAATTCATTGTTTTGTTTTTTTCTTCATATGTTAAGACCTTTTGACCACTTAGTCTCAAATCCACCTAGGATATTTATTTAGTTGAAGATGACAGCTCTTGAAACAGTTGTTCCTGGATGTTTTTTATCCCAGTGCTGATTTCTGCCAATTATTTGATTTATTCCTGAGAAGTGACCATTTAACAGCCACAAGTTGGCAAAACTCATGAAGTCAAAAAGCTGACACAGGAACACAGAGGGGCAAGTTAAAGGAATTACCAAATGTTGATCGGGCTTACTTTTTTACCAGTAAAAATAAATCAAAATGTAGACATCATACAGAATATTTTCTGATGGATCAAAAGGTACAACGTTCAAGACATTGTGTAAGTCTGAGTTTTCTTTATATCTCCATTCTTTTTAATTCTTACCTTTTTTCTGTGGGTCACACACACAGAGAATGTGATTTAGCAAAAAAGTTTTTATTATGTAAAACAGTCTGTCCTTTACAATAATTTGCAGGAACTATAAAAAATTAACTTGAATTTTAATTTAATAGGTATCTACAAAGGTAACTTCTGACTCAAAGAGGTAATTTCTGTGTAGTATTTTTATTACTGTGGACCCGCATGTTTACTTCACTGGTTAGTGAAATTTCTAAGAAAGGAAAACAACAGCTTTTCCAGTTGACATGCAGTGAAAAGGTAATTGGCCTTATTTTTCCACAAACGTGGAAACCAGTTGCCCAGAGGGGATAAGAGAAAATTCCAACTAAGTGTGTTTTCTTTACAATAGAAATTATTTTAGATACAGTGGGACTAGTTTCTAAGGGAGACATGCTATGTTTAAAAAACAGTACTTTATAAAAAATATTTTTACACTTTTTTTTTTTTCAGGTTTAGATCCAGATAAGCATCTAGGAAAAACTCTGGATCAAATGGAGCCTTATCTTTTGGAGGTGAGTATTACTTAAAGGATACTCATACAGATAAAGTTGCAATTAAAAAGTAACATAGGCACAAATGCAGTAAAATTAACTTAATCAAAAATTACTCTAGTTACTTTCAGAAATTAGGTGCTAACTCAAGGCTTACCTTTGTACCTAGAATATAAGCCTCCGGTATGCACTTTCAATATGAAAAACATTCTTTCTGGAGGTAGTTCACAAGTGGTGCCAGCGTCTTTAAAACAAACTAAAGGCAAGAAACCTCAATATTAAGGGAACACTAACTCGTATGTCAATATGATAAAGCTAAATAATTGCATGCAAGTTAGAGACTTTCACAGCAAGGAATGGTGGGAATGATAGGTTATACAAAACTTCCCTACAGATATCCCCATGTGAAGGTTTCCTACCATTTTCACCCAGTCAGACTGCATATAGCAGGGCCTTTCAAAAATGCAATAAGAGGTTTATTCCAGAGGATGTACTTAGTTCTGTGCAAAGGGTTATGTAGTCCTCAAAGCAGGAAAATGCTGGTAGGCGGAGCTAATAGATTTATTTAAAGAAAAATTATTTAACTGAGGGGGGGGTGAGAGACCAGATTTTGTACATGAGTAATCTTTGAGTTTGAGGTAAAAGCATCAAACATCAAGCTAAGTACAATTTAAGAATAACAACTCTGAAAGTGTGTTTACATATATTGTCTGTGACAAAACCAATTTAGCACACTTCCTTGTCCTCGAACCCTTTAAAAAAACACAATTATTTGCATGTTCGGCTATTAAGACAGACTTGCTGTAACTTTTATCAGTGTAAGCTGTCTGAATTTGCACAAAACAATCTCCTAAAAATACTTGTTGTTGTTAATCTGGGTAGTTACCGTTCAGCCTGGCTACGTAAGCAGTTTTTCTGGAACAATTCAGGGCATGGCAAACTTGCAGAAGAGAAAGAAAAAGTAACCAGAATTTGTTTGGAACTTCATAAATCTCTTTTGCTGCTGAAAGATAAAGAAGTTAAATAGGAATTATGTCTTGAGTTTAATTTCATTTTGTTAGTCATTTACATGGCTGGAGAAAAGAGCATAGATAATTGGTACTTGCCAAAGCTGAAGAGAAAGAATGAAGGTCCATAACATTCAAATAGCCTTGCCTGAAGAGATTGGTTTTGGCCTGTTCCTAGCTTGAAGTTTGTTGTTGCTGCTTCAGAGCTGGAGAATCTGCCCAGCAACCTCCCCCTGTCCCCCTCCCCCCTCAACTAGTTGAGGTAAAAATCCCCTTCATTATCTCTTTTTCTAAGTCTTCCTCCACTTACATCTTTAGATTATCTCAGCTACAGCAATGATTCAATAATACCAGGCGGTGGGAAGGAGAGGTGTTTTCTCCCGCTGCAGAGAAAGGGAAGGAAGGGAAGTAGGGAAATAAATATCTTCCTAAATACTTGTAGTACGGGTAAAAAAGCAGTGGCAGAGATATACAGTAGGAGTACAGAACATTATATACATTAACTATATATAAAATATTTGTTCATATTGTGTCATTAGGAAATGTTTTTTTTATGGGGTGATAATAAAGGTAGACTTAAAACAGTAAATAATTGCTAAATCTAGGGATATCAGTAAGATCCAAGAATAATTAGAAGAGGGAGTGGATTTATCCTGTCTGAAAAGTATAAATTGGATTTCTACAGCAAAAGGAAGGAAGAGGGAATGGGATCGCCACTTCAAGCATCAGTGAGCTTTTGGATTAGGTAATACAATCTAATTGAACACTGAGCTAACTTTGAATTGGAGGCTGTATTAACATGGTGGTTTGGCTCAGCTAATAAGCCACTGAGAACCAGAGTCTGCAAGTTTCAGGTTCACCACTTGTGGACATGGTTAGACTGATTCCAGGAGCTTGACTGCTAAGTCGGCATTGCGCTGCGTGAACATGCCAGACTGGAGTCTTCATTGCGCTCCACGTTTGTGTCACAGGCCTGCTCCAACACTGGCATGCTGCATATTGCAAGAGAGTAACATTACTGTGGAAAAGCAGTTTTACTTACATGTGAAGTCACGTTCTGCATGTGCTGTAGAAATGGCTACTGATTGATAAATTCCCAGAAAGGTTGTTTGGAAGATCTTTGGAGTCATGAGTAAATAATACATAGTTTAAGAGTATGATAAACATTTAAGTGCTCCTCCCCAGTTTGTTGCCACAGATCACTTAAGCAATGTTTCTGTTTGTCAGAGCTGTTTCTTTTGAATCTTAGCAAGTGACAACTAAGGAAGGATAAAACTTCATAATCATGAAACAATGAACAATTTACTGTGGAACAGATTTAACAGAAGCATCAACTTTACTGTAATATCAATTCTATAATGAACAGTCACATTTGGATGAATTAATATTTATGTGGGACTAGTTAAATAAGCCAAAAGGAGGAAGGTACAGCCCCTGCATTCGCGGAAAGCTTCTGTTATCAAAATTCAGGTTTCAGCTTCAGTGGGGCTGCAGATGGACAGCTACTCACTTCAGTTGAATCAGTAGTCTTGACTTCCTTTAAAACTGTAGCAGCAAGTATTGCAATTTTAGTTATGTTAATAGGGTATAATTAAAACAAGTATTCTCCATTTTATTTCACCATCATTCATTTTAAAAAGAAAATAATAAACTAAGAAATCCAAAGTACCTGGTATTTCGGGGAATTAAATGTATTCTTCCAGATTGATGGCTCAGGTGAAGTGATTCTTCCTTGGTTTCACTGGAATTCTTACTGTCATGGTTTAATACTTCTCAAAACCCACATTTGCAGGTTTGATCTTTTATTGATACAACAATAAACAGAGCAATGACTGCATAGCTTAAGGTGTAGAACTAGTAGGGCATTCTGACCCTACTTGGAACTGGTTGTCAGGCCATTGTACGGGAGACTGCACAACTGATTATTTGTTCATGTAGCTGTTTCTTGTGCATATGCATGCTATGAAAGTCAAAGTCAGTACAAATAAATTGTTTTTACTGGATACTTAGTTGGCTTTAAGGCCTCGTAAAACCAAATCATTAACTATAAACTGAAGAGAAATGCTTAGGTTTATGATGTGAAAAATACTCTTTTGCAAACCAATGAAGTCTTCAGCGTCAGAAGTTCTGGTAGACAGAATGTGAGAGCAAGGAGTTCACAGTTTTCAGTGAGGAGGAGAGATAAAATTTAATATTCTGACCATACCAAAGCAAGCACCATAATAAATTAATTTTTAACATTGCACATCACTCAAACTACCACAGCTTTATATACTCTTGGGTCTTTGATTTGTGTTGTATTATCTAACCAGTAATTTCAAATTTCACAACAAATTCCTTGGAATTTTTGCAGTTCTGTTTAAAATGAATTAAACAGTGTTCTATGTGTTCTTCAGTTTTGTTGAAAACCAGTTTATATCTTCATAAGTTCGGTGCCCAGAAAAATGCCAGTATTGAATATAAGAGAGTCTTTGATATTGAACCACAACATGGATGACATGTTGAGTCATTTGGGATTGGTAGGGAATATCCTGCTTTACATTTTAGCATGTATTCACAAAGTTCAGCTTCTCTGATACTACAGATCAGGAATTAGGACTTTACTTCTTTTTATACCAAAAGTTAACCTTAAGGAACAGGCAATAAAATCAAAATCAGCTTGTATTACTGTAATGTGCCTATTATAATTTGTCTTTCGGACGTACAAGAAATAAGTATGAAGTAATCATTTTCTTTTTAGAAAAAATCTCTTGTTGATGCATTATAAGAGGCATGTCAATGTTAATTGGAAAAAAAAAAAAAACCCAACAAACAAATAAATCCACAGTCCAGCCCTGATTTCATGCACAGAATTATTTAACTTTGGAAATATATATTGTCACCTAAATTGTCAGTCTTCTGATTTACTGTAGTTTATGTGTACAATAGAAATTATAATAATTACTAACATAAAGGTGAGGTGTTTTTTGCTGCTGTAGCAGCAGAAAAATGGAGGAGTATTGAGTGGGAAAAACTTTGATTTAATTTTGCAAATTTTTTTCTGACTTTACATACAGAAGGTTGAACTTACGAGTACAATGATGATCTGCAACCCATACTTTTATCAGGGGTGAATTTTACTGGCTCAGGACATTGGCATTGTAGCAAGGAAAGTTCATGAATTATTGCTTTTTTCTAAATGATACATCTTTGATTAATTATTGATGAATGGTTGCTATATAATTGCTAAATTATTAAATTGCTCTCATGTGCCACTGTTTCCTATAGGAGCCCTAGCTTTTTACACTAAAGAATTTGTTGGCAGCTTGCCAAATCTCAGGGGCTGCTCACACTCTCCTTAGAATTAATTAATAGAATGGTAAATGCATAGTATGGTTATATTTGTCTGTATTTCTGTCTCTGCTAATAGACAATAAAAAAATGTTTAGCTATTTGTATGCTTGCCTTAGAAGTTGATGAGTACTTCTTGATGTAAAGAGTGTTTCTGCAATTACAGAGAATTTACTAAGTGTTACAATTTCTGTCTGGGAACAAAGTCTTCACTTGAAATAGGAAGCACTTGAATTCATATCTTTTATCTTTGATTACTAAACGTAAATGAGAAAGTCAGCTTTAATCCTTGTGTTTCATTCCCAAGGTAGAAAGAGACTGTTTTTCAGGTAATGTTTGGGGTAAACATTTATATACCTTGTGTCTCATTGTATATTTGAGTTAAGATTAATTTTGTGTCATCTAGAAGATGTTTTCATCATATAATTCTTTTGAATTTTCAATTGGACTTAACATTTTTAGTTGTGTAATTTGTAAATTTGCTGTTTTCTGGCTCATCTGAACTAGAAGGCAGGCTTAGCAATCATAAAATTTAGATTAGAGTTTAAGCTGTCCTATTTTTATGAATGCAACATCCCACTTGCAAAACAAAATAATTGGTCTTCAAAAAATGTTAATATTCTAAATGACTAAAAGGCAAAGTTCTGACGTCATTGATGACATCTTAAAAATATTGTTGACTTTGTTAAATGAACATGAAGAATGTGTTCTATGAGCTGCTGAATATCCTCAGTTCTGTTGATGTTAGTGGGAACTGAAAATCCTTTAGCACTTTGTATAATTGGTGTCAAGAATGATCTTGAAGCCAGTGACATTGAAAATGAGGGTTTCCCACAACAAAGATAGGAAATAGTCTCACATCTTTTGAGTACTCGATGTTAATTGCCAATAATTATTCTAGGCACTGATGTTTACAAGCAGAGCTACCAATTTTGGAAGTGACCTGTAAACAGTCATGCCTTGTATTCACTGTGGAAAGGTTACAATCAGAAAGATATTTTCTGGTTTTCTCTCTTTCATTTTTTTAATAGTTTTGTTTAGGTTTTGTTTTTTTTTTTTTTTTCCAGTGGAAGCTACAGCAAGAGGAAGAATAAAAGGTTTTGACTAACTCTTTTGTAGGTTGTCCATTCTTGTTGCATCAACATTAATTATTCTTGATGTATTTGTCCTATAGAAACCTTGTTGCCATTGTTGACAGATGGAGCTCTCTTTTATGTCAGGAGTGTAATTTTTTAATGAGCACTTGATTAAAGGTTTTCTTCTGCTCCTTTAAAAGAAAATGTGAAAGGAAAAATGAAAAATACCTCTCATAACAAGACATTGAAAAATGATTTAATATATGTTCCAAAAGAGATTTAGATTTCACACCACCAGACAGCTAAATGGTCACATAGACCATTACCAAGGCATTGTTTTCTCAGAGCATTTATACTTTTCTCCAAAATAAAGGCTGAAGAGAATTCAGGCCTTTTGTTTAACTAACTGAATTTTAAATTTAAAATGTGGTCTTTGATTTTATGAAAACGTTCAAGTTCTGTGTATTTCATTTTCTTCTTTCACACCTAATTTTGAATTTTTTTTTTTTTTTAACTAAGGTGATGGCTGTTGTAAACACTCTTTGAAGTTTTAAAATAAAAAACTTTGAAAGGGAACTGTAAAGTGACACAAACTATATATTCAGCTTCAACAATAAAAATGTAGTATATCAATAATAAAAATACAGAATATGTCAACTACACTTGCTACACAAATATTCTGGTAACCGTATAAAAAATGGAACCTACAATGTATAAATAACCCAGCCTTATGCTTGCCTAAAAATAGACAAACAACAGATTTAGAATTATTTTCTAGCTCCCAGACAGACTTTTTCTAACCATCTCCTACATGTAGTGGAGAACTGCATTGCTACTTGGACTGCAGAAGCATCATGGGTGGGCATCTGTTCCTCTAACGAAAAGCATAAGGGGGTTAAATAAATATCCCCAATAGTAACATTGGTGTTTGCAATGGAGTTGAGGACTGCCATTCAGCTTCTTGTGAACTACTTGAAGCAGAATGTTAATGCTGGCTTAATGTGAAAAAACCTGGACAGGACTCGGCTTCAAGCAGCTAGTGCTGGGACAATTTAGAAGGTGATATAATCTGCTGATGAGGAGATTAATTTCTCCTGCAGAAAAAGGGAGGGGGTCCCCATGCTCAGGCATGATACAGGTGCTTGATTACTACCTATCAGTACAGTACATTAATACAGAATTATAGTGAACTATTCAGCAGTTGTGCGCTCCTTACTCTGGCAAAAGAACTTTGGTTCCTGCTTCACAGCTGCTCAATTACAAAGCAGGGAATAATTAAGATAGTTGTGTCTCTTATTTTGAATGTATTGGTTTATATAGTTATGTGTTTTATTGGGATACCCAGAGCTTCAGGAATATTCATAAATGTATATGTTGATTTAGAAAGTATATTCAGTACCATTTATTAAGGAAACAGCATGTTGCTACCTCTTTAGATCTTGCTTTAGCTTTTTGCTTTTGACTTAGAAAACTCTTGTTGGTTCTATTTATTAGAATTTTTTGAAAGAATGGATATTTACCAAAATACAGAATGCAGTTGTTGAATCTGTTGCCAAAAATTGTGTTCACTGTATACTTCTATGTGAAGTGCTACTTCTTGTGTTGATTTACAGTACAAGTTTCTCACAGAAGTGAGCTATCTATGCTAGATAGACAAATACAGGAGTCTGAACAACCTTTCATGGCCACCGAGGAAGAAGGACTAGGAATTCATTTGTTTATCCGAATGTTACAGTGCCGGTTCTACTTAAAATATAACACATTGGTAATTTTTTGATCATTGTAATATGCATATGAAGAAATCAAGAATGCTTTGTATGATATTTGTGTTTTTTCAGCATTGTATGGGTAGTCTTTTAGAAAGTGCACACTGAAATTTTCAGCCAAATATATTTAATAGACTGCTTTAATGTAATACTTGTGTATTTTGATTTCCCTTTTGTGTTAGCTTTCTGAGAAATATGGAGTCCATGTTTGCGGAGAAGGTGGAGAATATGAAACATTCACTCTGGATTGCCCTCTATTTAAGAAGAAAATAGTTGTGTAAGGAACAGTTTCTTCCATTTCCTTATATTAAAGCAATGGGAACATATTCACATTTAGCTTGAGGCAACTTTTGTTGGCAGAGGTAAAACATGTCCTCTAAGTTCACAAACACTCACTTTGTTTAACACTGGCAAAGTCCTCTGAAAACCTAAATCAATACCTGACAAGACGAGGCCTTCATAGAGGGCTATAAACTTTTTAGACATTTGCACTTTCGTTTACTTGCTGATTATGGCCTGCAGTAAAACTGGTACCTACACACTGACACTTTTATCCTTTCATGAAGTGCGAATTGCCTGTAATATTTATCTTTCATTACAGCTACATTTGATAAACTGCCACATCAGTAGCCTGTGGGTTCCATTAACTCTGTGTGTTTGTGCGCGCGCGTAAGTTTAGCAGCTTAGAATGATAACAATAAACATTTTTCTTCGATTATTAGAGGATACTTAAAATAGGAACTTTGCATGAATCCATCTCATTTACACTGAGTAGTCTATTCCTTTGACATAAATTGCTAAAATCTGTGTAGTGGGATATGGAAAATATTTCTGTCTTTATGCACATTTCTGATTAGTCTTAAATAGCTAAGCCTGCTTGCTTCGAGTGAGATGTTTTGACTGCCGTTCCTTTTCTTAGCCAAGTAAACAGACTAGTAATCATGTATTGGTGATACTCAGTCATCTTAGGGAAGGTCAAGGTTATGGAGCATAAAGACATGATTAAGGCTTTCATGGTGAAGGTCTATTTGTTTCATTTTTCTGTGAGACTGGGATCTGTCTGCATAAGGAACGGAGAACCAAGAGCTGTTAACTCTGTCTCATTGCATGGCACTTGGGAGAAGAACAGCAATAGACAAACTGGTAAAAGGCATAGCAGCTACTCTGGCAAATGTCTGCTGAACTGTTGGTTGACTGGAAGATATGTCCTCTGGAGTGAACTAAAAAACTAGATAATTTGAGTGTGGAGATACCTCCATGCAGGAAAGCTATGGAATTCTTTAGTAAGAAGAAGATTCAGAAAGTAACAATATAGAATCTTTAAAGTTGATTAAGTTCATGGATGGAATTATGAATGTATGGGCCAGGAAGTGAGACTCTTGCGGGTGCTAGGTAGGACCCATTGGTTGTGAGCCAACCTACTGACTAGCAGGAGTTGGAAAGCATCTGTTCTGCTGCACTAGTCAATTGGAACGTGCAGGGATACAAGTAGGACTGCTTATTTTGGTTTGGAGTTAAGTATATTTTTTAAAGTTACCATGTATCCTTTAAACTCAACAGACACATACATTTAATAACATTACATTTTTATTTTTCCTTTCTGATATAAGCTTTTCTGTTAATTTAGCTTTAAGTAGTTAATGCATCACTGAAAAGTACCAGACTTCCCCATATAGGACTTGAACAACAAGCAAGAAATGTTTACTGAGAATGTCCTCAGACACTGAGGATGCCCAGGTACCAGGTACTACTGTAGTCTTGGTGTCTGTTTTTATTATTTCTAATTAGGTATTCCTGTTGCTAAAGATTTCCGAAGTTATTTTCTACCTATTTCTGTTAGAATTAGAAGACACCATAATAATTTGAAAGTAATTATTTTAATCTTAAAGGACTATCTTTAAGATATCTTAAAGGAATAAGTGATATTTTACTTGTAAAGAATCTTGATAACTCTCAAGAATGAAGCTGAAGGCTTGTTTATCAAAATACTAAAAGTTTACTAACAGGGAAGTAGAGCTTCTTGTGTTAAGGGTATTTATCATTATTGTGCAATGTAGTGATGATGATTAGCTTAGGAGTTTTGTTATTTTGAATCCCAAAACACATTTTATAGAACAGATATTTCCATTAATTTTACACTTTCATTAAGTCAGTGGAATCTGGCCAAGACTTCAACTGTTTCCAGTTTGCGTGGTTTTTATGTGGCATTACTAGAAATCTTTCTATCTCATCTCATTGAATACTGTGAAGGTATCAAGGGCGCTGTGGGTTCAAGAAAATGATCTGTGTGTCCTTAGCCTTATTTATAACAATTTTCAGATTTTCTTGTACTGTATCGGAGTTTCTCATATGTTTTCTTTGAGTTTCTCACCTTCTGATGTTTGCTTCCTAGAGCTACCTTTTTCTTAAGTAGTAAAACCACGCAGATGGATATAACAGATACTGCCTCTTGTGAATCAAAGTGTGACAGATTGTGTCTGTAAAAAATGAAAACTAAAATTAACTAATTTGAATCAGCACACAGGAAGTTTATCATTGTTACCAACACAGTTGGCATTAAAAAGTTGTGTCTAGTAGTCTTCAATATCAGATGCAAGATGGTCGAATCAGTCAGTTTCTCAGTGTGAAGTATTGTATGTTGTTAATACTTCAAGAACTAATCCCTGAAGCATTAATCAAGAACAATGGGCTTTTAAAAAAAATCTGTTGTTGATGAAATTAAAAGATTGCTTTACATATTAGTCTCTAGAATGTAAAACATAATGTCGCTTATGCTTTCATAGACCACAGCTAACTAAATCTCTCAATACTGGTCTGAAAGTATAGTTTATTCCTTTTGAAAATTAGTGAAGATAATATGTTGTTCAACAATATAATTTTATATAGCAAACTATTTTTTCTTAATTTATATGAAAACTAAATAGGAAATTAATAGATTTTTCAATGAGTTACCTTGGAGTCTGTGTCATACAGCAGCTAAGTATTGTCTACATGTAAAATTATATACTAATATTTGATGCTAAGTATTTTGTATTTCAGAGATTCAACCAAGGTGGTTGTACATTCGGCTGATGCATTTGCACCTGTGGCCTACCTTCATTTTTTAAAATTACACCTGGAGAATAAGGCAAGTAGATTACAAATGTCACCTTCCTTTAAAGCTGCATGCATGCTTTCTATTTTTATGTTGCTTTGTCACAGTTTGGAGTGAAGCTACGCATTCTCATGTGGGTGTACTTTCAAATAACAATGTACATATTTAGTTGAATTTCAGAACTTACCATAAGGACAAACTCAACACAAATGCTTCCTTGTGTCAAATGAATGAATGGAGGTAGTATATTTGTGTAGCATTTTTCATCTTGAAACCTCAGGGTTCTCAGCCAACATGGTTCAGTCAAGCACATGTGTAACCTGTGTAGTACAGCTAGCCACACTGTGGAACACAGCTGTATTAGGAGACTGTATGAACAGTGTTGATTTGCTGGGAGGTGGCATCTCTTTTTGCTGTTTCTGACATAAAGTGGATGATTTAAAAACTTGCTGACCCAAAAGTGCTCGAGTTTTAAACGTACTGGGTTTTGGTTTATGTTTTCCATATGAAAGATACTTCTAATGAATGACTTCAAATCATGTAGAGGGGATTATCGTGGTCAAAGATCTTAAAGGAATCGTTAGTAGTTCAGTGGGATTCATTCTCTTAGCTTACGATTCCATGGAAACAGCAGAACAGGAATAGGAACTCTAGTGTTTTAAATACTGCAGACTTTTATGTGAGCAGAGCTAAGAAGATCAAAACAGAAGTTATTTTTTTTAGCATTTGTCATCACTTTTCTATTTTGCTTTTCATTATTTTATGGGTAAAATTAATATTTTTCCTCCTGAACATCTCTAAGTACTAGTATTTTGTGGAAGAGAGTGCCTCATGATCTTCCTACTACTGTTGCAGTCATCTTTTTATAGGTCTTCCTACTTCTTTCTACACTTTGAAGCACTGAACCTCTTCTAGGTGCAGGGATTGTTATAGCACATTATTACATTGGTATTTTACATTTCATGTCTCTTGAGCGACTACATTTCCTGAATTTCTTTCAATAGATCATGCCTTTCCTCCCCACCCCCCGCCTTTTTTTAAATTTTATTGTTCCAAACAGATAAAATACCTGTACATTTTTCTTCCATGATGCCCTTCTTCTTGCCTTGGAAAGTAAATTGTATTTCATCCTGTCAATTTCTAGTTTGGGATTTCTTTCAAAAATAAAACATTAAATATTTGTGTGGAAGACTGTGAAAAGGGTATCAACTAACTATGTGAAGCAAAACCAAATAGGCTGAATAAAGGAAAAATTTGGAGCGGGGCATGGTGGGGAAGAGTGATAATATATTAATATTTCTTTGGGGGCACTGACTTTATTGCTCGTGGCAAACTTGATGCTAAAATGCACCATACATCACTACAATGTGACAGGCTAGGGAAAATGAAAAACACAAAGCTTTACATAAATCAGGCAAAAAATCATATTAAAATGCATAACTTTATATAAGAATCAAGATTTTACTTTTATCTGTTCAGAAGCTCTTTTCCCCTTCTTATGTAGATGTTTTAGATTTGGTTAAAGCCTCACAGTTTCAGGCAGTGTTGTAGTAAATCATATTTCAAATCCATTGTAGATAAAGCTGTCACACTCTCAAAGGGGTAAGGTTTTCAGAGGCTTGCCCTGGATTTTGGTATATAAACTAATGTCTTGTATAGTTAAAAGGAAAATAGTCTCTTTTCTGCAGTGGTTGTCTCATAAGGAAAAGCATTAGAATCTTTTGGCTATAGGTTGTTTTATGTCACGATAAAATAAGCTAGGTTTTCAAGAAGTTATGAATATGGAGAACCAGTCAGTCTTTCAGAGCGTAACTTGTTACTAAGTTAGCACGGTTTAACTGCGTAATGATGAGGAGATGCCTTCAAGATTGATATTCCTGTAGTACTGTACTTTTTCTCACTATTTGGTGCTTACAAGCCTTACCAAAAAAATTAAGTATCAGTTAGTAATTCAGCACTTAAAAGCCAATCCTACAATAATGAATCACTGCAGGGAAAAACTGCTTTAGAAGGAGAACTAATTTTAGTTTCAGGCTTTCAAGGGATTACTGAAAATTGGGCAAAAAATACTCCATTATGAACAATGTGTGAAAGTAGCCACTTGTGTAAGCACTTTGTAAAAACCATTAGTAGACTGCACAGTGATGTGTAATTCTAATAAGTATTATGACATCAGTTTTGTTATCATTTCAGCTGAGAGATATACATATTTTTATCTTTTATTGTATATTCATTTTATCTTCATTATGTGCCACAGGTGTTAATTTTACAGTCTTTGAATTTACTTTTATAATCATTATGCAATTATAGCTAGTGTACCTTAGTCTCTGCTGTCTTTCCTCCTCTATAAGGTATTTCTTCAGCTAAATCACTTTATGTTTAACTACAAAGCCTGCATAGAAATTTGTTTTAGATTGTTTCTGGCAGCAAAATGAGCCCTTGTGCCTGGGGGAAAATAACATTTTACTCACTGTTCTGTTTTAATACATTACTGTGCAACTTCAAGATGTGTTTTTGCATAATAATTGAAACACTTTTTTTAACACACCCTCTTTTCTTTCATTACCAGTGATACAGAAAAGGCTAGAGAGATAAATAAATACAAGGTTTTATTATTAAAACATTATTAAAAGTTTGGTAAACATGGCTTAAGATAACTTTTTTGTAGGCATTTTACAAAAACATTAAGGATTAATAATAATAATGCTAATAAAGCACTAACGCTCAGAATTCGGGAATGCCTCATTTTCTTCATGGTGAAAAAGCAAGGTCACCACTGTGATGTATGTAATACAGATACCTAGCTTCTTCAATTTTTTACTTTGTCAATAAGACTGTCACTTTGTACATTTAAAATATAGAATGTTTTTTGCTGAGGGGGAGGCAATTTCTGAAGCATGTTCCAGAATCTTTAAATGAAGTTTATTGGCTTTTGTATTCAATACAAATTTAATTTTGGATATCTTCATTTAGGAAAAAATACAACAGTGAAACAATTTTTTTTTTTACTTTGACAGTAAAATGAACTTGCAAAACATTGTTATTTTCCCCATATTATATTATTCTGTTACTCTGCTAAGTTGTGTTGGCTTTTGAATGATCAGAAACAGAAATTAAAGCTGTTGGAGCTTCTGCTGATGTGAACATGCTTCTGATGACAGTAATGAACATATTAGCTATCATTCATGCTTTTAGCTTTGCTCTTTCCCACATTTAATAATGAATGCTTTGTTCCACAAGTTCTCAGTGACTAGGAGCACACATACATCAAACAATACAAGCCATGAAACTGCATCCCCTTAAGTTAGGGATAGTCCAGAATTAGAGAGAGTCCTGTAGTTTTCTTTCTACACTTGGCAGAAGAAAGGAGCCTGTTTGCCTGTAAAAGATACAGGAAGCACTCCTGCTGCTGCTCTTTCTTGTAGCATACTATTGCATTATGTTTACCTATCATAAATTGATATTGTGAGGCTTGTATGTTTTCCCATTTGTAAAAGATCTTGACCTATTTGTGTGGAACACATTTCAGCAGTGCAAGCAGTTGTGCTCCTGTTAAACATCAGCAAATCTATTTCACAGGTCAATTTGGAGGTGATTTTAAAAACACTTGTAAAAGTTAGAAAAGGTGTTTGTGAGAGATTTTCATGCCTTGTGTACTAAAGGAGCATGGTTAGATTTGATTTAGCTTTCTAGCCTATTTCTGTCCAGTTCCTTCTAGCCTGAATTATTTTAGTTAATCTGCATTTAGGACTTTAGCTATAGAATTAGGCTTTGTAAGTGATGTCAGGGCGAACAAGAAGGAATTTCAAGTTGCAAAATATGTTTTCTTGGTGGTATTGTGGGTGGCATTTTTTGAATACTTCGTCATCATCATTGAATGATACTTCTCCTAGGTAACCTTTAGTTTCCCTTCTGCATCATAAGAATATAGATAACCCTTGTAGTTATGTTTTCAAAACTTTGTAACAAATACTGCCAAAATTTTGTACACTGATTTATTTCAAACACTAAGATAATAAATAAAGGATTTTCTTTCCTACTCCATTTGATTGCAGATTCAGTCCAGTTCTCTGAGAAAAGAGAATTTTTTGTTCTCTTTTCATAATGAAGAGACTTTATTTGAAAGTCTTTCAGAGTAAAGGACTTTCCTATGTGTCTGTGTATTGTACTTGAAATACTGCAAGGAGATGTATGTCGTCTCTCATTATATTTATTTCAAGGAGCTCTGTCATCAAGGTACACCACAAAGCATAAAGAGATTATCATAGTCTTTCCTTATGTCTTCTGAGCTCTCTGCCCCACTGTATTCTCATTGCTGCTCAGTGGGAGAACTATCAGTTTTGTAATTGTGTTGTGATACGTTTTTATACCAGTTTCTGTAGTGGAGAATGTAAGCTTTTCAAGAAGGCAATCTGTTGTTTTCATAAAAGACCACTGCATGGAATTTCAGTTATATCAGTCAAAGTCCTAGCTCCAAGGCTTTTTCAACGGGAGAATTTGGATCTTGGAACACTTGTGCATTTGCTTAACATCATTCTGAGCGCACTTGCATCAATGACATGAGTTATGTGAATATATTTAAGCATATGCATGCATGCAGGCTCTGATCCAAAATTAGGTTGATATCACAATGTACAGTGGGTGTGGGAGAAACAGTGTAACAAATGGGAAAATATATTGGTTCTGTGAAGTAACATGAAAATGTTATGTGATAAAATAGGTTCTGTAAGATTTAATTAAAATGTCATTATAGCAAGCTTGATTTTTTGTTTTTAAAGTGATGAGAATATTATTCAGGGAAAGTTAGTCTGTTTGTGGCAGTCTATAACTTTAAGTTTTAAATTCTTAGATTACTTTCTCTGTCGACAGGAATGGAAGACCAACATTCGTAGGAGATTTGAATATAGCTACTAAACAGAGTCTGGCAGCTCTACTTAGGCTGGCATTGAGCCTGTTCTTCTAGTGCCAGGTTCCACACCTAATACTTCTGCTGCAGCCTGCACCTGTGCTGCTGCGGAAAGTGATTGATTGCCTATGTTTTTGGAGCATTGTGGGAGTCAGCCTTGAATGAATCATTGTGATGTGTCACAGGCATTGAAATCAACAGTAGTCTATTTTTACGGTCTTTGGTGTATGCAAGAGACATTGTAGTATTTCTAGTATTTCTTAGTAACTTCCAAAAATTTTGCAACTGACCAGCTGTTTATGTATGTGTGTAAACACAGATGTATAATTTTATTTATATCTGTGAAGCAATATTGATATAAGCTTAACAATTTATAAAATATTGACATATTTAGGAAAAAGGGATGTGACTGTGGACAATACGAATATTTCATGCGGCATCAATTTGGGATTTTTGTAATATTAACAAATTACAAAGCTACAGGGGAGTTCTGTAGGTTACACCAAACCAGCTGTGATACAGTCTGTGAGTCTCACTACATCGCCATGAATTTTTTATGAAGCACATTTTGCAGAAAACATGTTTAGAAACATAGTTGAAAGAACAATTTTCACAGATGGCATAAAAATGGAATAGGTGCTCTTTTCATGTTCACTTGCAGAGCATATAAATTCAGTCCTCCAGGTTAGGGAATGGAGAGAAGTTACAGGTGTCTAATAGTACCTACAGAAAATACCTGTAGCTCTAGATTTCTTAAAAGGTAATTATGTAAAGCTTAACAAAAGCGAGAAACAAAGTGGCTGTCATACTGGCAAGCTGGAACTTTTCGCTTCCTGGCTAACATATTTTTTGCCTAGTGATGGATTGTTATACCATATTGAAGTTAAAATCCAGGTGATGTAAAAACAAAATCCAAAGCAGCATTGTGATAGTATCATTCATATCAGCATGTCTGTGCATGCTTACTCAGGGGGTAGGACCAAGAGGTGCAAACTCTGTGTGTGTTACATTAGTACTCAGTGAATGCCCGTGCTACAGTGCAAATCAATAGTGTCATGATGGATGTTACAAATTAGCCAGTGACAGCAGCTAAATTAATAAAGCAACAATTTGTGAGAAGGAAATGGTAGCACTTTTAGCACCTCATGCCACTGTACAGTCTGTATATTTCTATAAAGTGACATCTCATGGATAAAAAAAATAGAAACTTAAAAAAAAAATTGAAAAAATGGAATTTTTTTTGATCTTGTAGCATAATCCATCTTAAGATCTACTTCAATAACAGATTTGTGTTCCTGCTTCTTTATTTTCTAAGTCATACCTGAAGGTTTAGGGGCTATCAGGCAGCCCTCTGGGTAACGGCAAAATATATCAACTGACAGCAGTAGTCGAAGGTGTAATTCAATGAGTGGGAAATGGTATAGATGCTGTTGGGTGGTTGTATATTGTAATGTTGGAATGCATGTCGTGTTTGTGCTAAATTGCAGTTTTCATCTTTGTGCTATTATGTTACATTTAGTTGACTTCTTTTAACCTCTCATGTACAATTGATTCACATAAAGTAGATTATTGCCTTGACTTTCGTGCCTTTCTTGGAAGAATGAATAAAATGAGGTCCAATCAAAGAACATCAGCCCCTCTTAGAGCATAGCTTTAGTGTTTACAGTGCTTATAAAACTCCCCTTGAGCCCTTTTAGAGGCAGCAGAGCTGAGTTTCCTCTCATAGGTAATGACCTTTTTGTAATTTAGCCTTTCCTGAGAATTTCCGAATACAATGCTTTAAGTTAACTGGATCCTTTTTCTCTCCAGTGAAGTCAAATATCGATGTAAATGCTGAGTTCTCGTTGCAGACTTCTGATGCATACTATAGTTTTCTGCCTTTTTTTCCTCACTTTTTTTTTTTTTCCTTAATATCAGGAGAAAACTTTTGAAGTTGCAATAAGATATGTTTTATTTTCCAAAGGAAATAAAAAAATACAATAAAATTACATTTTAAAAAGAAGTCTACATTCAAATTTGATTAGTAATTCTTAATATATCCCATTTTGTTTGACAGCTTGATGAGATCTAATTGTTAAAAAGCAGAGAATGCAAAGGGTCAAATTTCAGGTGACCTTTCAGGTGACCTTATGAGTGCTTCACTGTATAATGTTAATATTCTTTTTCATGGACATTTTGCATGAAAATTCTATAGATGACACACTAATTTGTGAGCTAAAAGATTATTCGGCAGTTTCTAATCCATATTTAAGGATTGCCAAAGGTTTCATATTTTGTCAACTTTTTATCTTGCTTTATTTGGCTTTATCATCATTTTTGTGAATTTAGTATTTAAGAAGCCTGCAGTAAAATGCATAGTTTAGACACTATATGAAATATGAGACCTTTGAACAGAAAATTAATTGATAGAATCTGGAGTTACCGCATGCAGTGGTGTTTGGTTAAGGTTTATGGATAAATTCTGTCATAATTCATATTGGTTTTAGATGAAGACAAGTAGTATTAGCCAAGCTAGTGATCCCAAAGTCAGCATGCTCTGCAGATTAGGCTGCCTTGGAAAATCAGATGGAAGAGAGTAGGGGTTCTGATTGCTCTAAAATTAAAAAAATATATATATGTATGCTCTAATTACATGACTTGTTGAAAATATAATGAACACAGAATTTTGGAAGACTGGTCAGTACACACTCTGCCTGTGTATTTTGCTTTAAAAGGCACACTGGGTAGTTTTCCTAGGCCTAAAAAAGCATTTGGGAAGAAGAGAAGGTACAGTGAATTATTTTCCTTCCTTGTCAATAAATTACTTTGATGTGTAAATCTTGGGAAATGCTCTTTTCTGTATCTCAAAACTCTGAGCATCCCAAAGCACGGTGAGTTTGATGGAAGGGATAGTCTTTGTGAGATGAATAGAAAGAGATTTCTTTTTTTACAGGGATTGCATTCATTGAGGGTTCCACAAACTTTTAAAACTTTCTTGTTAGTCTTTTGCTCTGTTTCAACTCTTTAGTGACAGTGTTAATTTGTACTTTTGTTCCCTTTTTCACTTCATTTATACTATTTTTGGAAAATGTAGTTGTCCTGTATATAGTTGTAGAATAGCATTTCTTCATCATAGTATTCTCTCTGTCTCTTGAGTCTCATCGTTTTTCATATCTGTTGTCCTTATTTACTACTAAGCCTGCATTTTTATTCCATATGATATGTCAACAGGAGCACATTGTATTCTGCCAGTTTCTGCATTGTAAATAGTGGAAAAACCTAATGCTGTTCTTCCATGAACTGTTCTAAGCTTACCTACCCATTCAGCTATATAGTATTTTTTGTAAATGAAACCCAAAATTTGAATGATAAAATGTGCTGGTTTCATACTGCTTGGCGTGCTGTTTACTTGCTTACTTTATAATGTTTGTCTCAAGCAGGGAGAATCTTCTTCTACGTTTATGGTCAATAGCTGTTCTTGTGAGGTAAGCTGCAATGATGGCGATATTTTCCCTTCATCTGAAGAGGATGAACCACAGAAGAACGTTCTAGTCATCTGGAAGTCTTTGAAACATAATTCTTTGGATTTCAGTGAGTCTTGCACAGCTTTCATTAGAAAAATAATATTGAATATTTCACGCTTTGGTGGACTACGCTGTTAATTACTATAAGAACACTCCTGAAAAGAGTGTTTGTGACCTTTAATAACCAGTCTGGAAAAAAGAGATCCTACTACAATGCGTTTTTCTGATAGGAATCAATAAATCTGTAGTAATGAAGCATTTCAAGTTATTTTACAGAAGGAGCGTAACCCATTTTTTTTACTTTCTTTCAGAAAACACACATTAATGTGTTGTGTTTGCCTGAATGAAATTACTATAATATAATCATTCGAGTGAGGGGATTGAGTTTTATTTGAAAGGTCTAACCACACCTGTACCCATACTCTACTGTTTTGAAATTGTAGGTAGAAAAGCAGACCCCAAAAAGGAAGTACGAAACACAACTGTTCAACTTGCTTACATAATGTATGAGTCTGTCCCCACCCAAGCAACATCAAACCTGCATGATCAAGTTTAGCAGCCTAGCAAGTTACTGTCTCTTACGTGAGCTGCAGTAACTAATCATATGCCTGATATTAGCACTGCCTCAAACATGAGGTGATTAATGCAAGATAAACCTGAGCTCATAGATTGGTTCCTCATTGAAGTACCACAGCATCACTGTTACCCTACACTCAAAGATTAGTAAACTTTTCCTGAAAACTAAATTTCGTAGTATAACAGCATTTGATATTGAATGGTATTTAGGCTCTTGAATATGGATAAGTGCCTGGTGGGATGTTGAAAAATGTCTAAACACGTTATGCATTTGCTAAGATGATCAGAACCAGTTTAAACACCTAACTTCCATTAAAATTTGGCATATAAGTTTGAAAATCTGTTCCTGTGTCATTTAGATACTTTTGAAAATTTTAGCTTTTCAGTGTCACATCTTGTGCCAAGTCTGTATCAGAACAGGTAGAGATATTGTAAAAGGTCATCAAAAATGGAAAGGAAGAGAGAAAGTACTGAAATACTTTCAGGCATACTTTTTAAGGGCAGTGTCAGAGAAGGATTTGTCAAGTTGCATTTGGAAGCTTTGTTACCAGGACACTTAAAGTTTTTGGTTTGTATCTGTTTGTCTGTAAATATTTTTTAAGATGTTTTTACAGTTTGTGATTTTTTTGTTCTGCAGAAGTTCTTCTTACTTAAATAAATTAAATTATATTCTAGGTTAATCTGAGATTTTTCATTATTATAATCATAGTGCTGTTCTTCATTTTCCATAGCTAAGACTCTTGGAAGTTCAGGAAAATCCTTGAGTGGTTACCAGTGGTTTTCAGGTATCACTGCCCACTTCCTTCCATCAAAAGGCAAAAATGCTCAAGAGGCAGCAAGGGAAGCATTTTCTTCTCTCCGAGGTGCTTTATTCAATTAATGCATTATCTCATGTTAACTATACTGTTTTTAATGTGGTATTAAGTAAGAATCTGTATTGTCATATGGTTTTATAACTTTAAATGTTGTGGTTGTCAGTTTGCCATCTCATTTTGCATTTGATTGGAACCATTGATATCAAGACTGCCAGATTTAATACTGAACACATCATAATTTGACTGGCTTTTGAAGACCTAGAAAGCCAGAGTAGTGTTCATATCACTGTTAACAACACTATTTCCACAGTACTTACTCACTTTATAACTTGCTTTATAGCTTTCTTGCAATATATACTGTGTGTGAGTGTGCGTGTGTGCTATGGATGCTGTCTACTTGCTAAAGCACTTTTGTAGCTACCATAATTTTAAATTAAGTTTTCTAGAAAGCTGTTGCACAATTTGGCATCTAGGATTAGGTCAGTAGCAGTAAATCTTATTTATATTCTTAATGTAAAGGAGAAACTGCTATCTTGGGAATCATGAAATCCAGGTTGCTTACTATCCCCCTCTTACAAGATACTGACATATAATATAAAATGTTCACATTTCTGTTTTGTTTTTTTTTTCAGTCTAAATTTTAGACAAAGTATGTTTATACAGGCTTTTTTTCATTTATAAAAATTGAAATAATTTTTAGTATCTAAAAGGGTAGGCTCATTCTTGTTCATGAATTTGTGTGAGGTATTGTCCTATAAAAAAAACCTTATTTTTTGCATGTGCAGCTGAGTATTCATGATTGAATATATGATGATAAAGAAGCCCTAGAATTTTTTTCAGAAGCAAAGAAGTTATACTTTGTAGAAGGTCATTAAGCCAGCTTTTGATTGCTTGGAAATGAGCGAGGTGGATGTGATCAAACTATTAGTAAAAGACAATAGTATTTGGTGTAAATCTTCTGGGCATAATCTGTAAATTGAAGCAAAAGGGTTGTGTAATGTTTTATTTTGTTCTCATTACATTTGAATGGAAATCTGCCAGTACAAACATTATATATTTTTTCCTTATCATCTGTCAAAAAAGATTGTGTCTCTGACTAGTACAGTAGCCTATTGCTTTCAACAAATTACTTGCATTAGCTGTATTATAGAAAAAAAAATGGTAATTTTGTGATCCTTGGTAGAAAATGTCAGTTCTCACATTTCCTTTCATTTTTCTCTTTTTGGAAGTGGGTGTGGAAGACTGAATGAGTTATGGTTCTGTCATGGCAAAAGAAACAATTTGTTTCTGAGAACTTAACTGATCTGCAAATATGTGCAAGGCTTTTTCTGAACTCATACTTACAATCTATACAGTTCAGTCTTCAGTGCTGTGAGAACAGAATAAGCACAGTCCTTTTAACCTCTTTGCTGGGTTAACCGCTTTAATCACCTCTAAAGAGGATAAGTGCTGCCAAAAGGATTCAGAAATGGAAATTTATTACTAGACATTATGAAACACACTTGTTCTGTAAAGTGGATGGAATTCTCCCATGCAGCCAAGAACAGGAGGGAATTCAGTACATTACGTTTATTTTCTTAAACTCTTGTTAAACTTTTCCTTAGATATGATTGGAAGATGACAAAGATTGCAGTACTTTATATATAAAGCAGCTCTGGTGCAGCTGTACCATGGCAAAGCTCCCTAGGCTTGAAGAGAACTATATAGATTTAGATACTGTCTTTTGTGGCTCTTGGCCTAAGGAACATGAATAACCCATTTAAAAACATTAAGCTGTACTTCAGCCAGTGTTATCTTTTGGGTCAGTTCTTTTTAGGCAGTTCTGCCTAAGTAAGGATGAGTCTTACCTGATCATATTTTATAAATTACTGGGAACAGTGAATGGCTTGAAATTCAACAGAAGGGCTGTAGGGTTTCCCTGTACATCCTGGAGATGTGCTGTATGTGACCTCTCCTTGGGAAACAGAACCTGTTGTCAAGAACCCAAGTGGTGGGTTGGTAACCGGTTCATCATTTATGCCTTTCTACTAGATAGAGTGCTTTGGGAGGTCAGTTTTATTCTGCTTACAAGCTAGGGAGAAATTATTTCCCATCATTCTTCTAATTCATGCAGGGGAAAAGGGGAGTGTACTTTTACTTAAAGATTTTTTTTAAATAACGCTAGAAGTTAGGAATTTATCCAAATCTCTTTGCCTTCAGCTTGCTCTAATACTGTTACGTGTCCGCAAATTAAACTTAGTTTGTTGGCTTATGCATTTTAAATATAGACTGGGGGGGTGGGTGGGGTGTGTTCAGTTTGGTTGCCCCCCCCAGGTACTCAATATAATACTGCAGAACTTTTAACTGCGGGCCAAAACTCTTTCTTCTTGACTAAAATGCTGGCTGGAAATTTGAAAAACGTCCTTGTTTCCTCCTTGACTGGTGACATAGCATTGACCTAGTCATTGCTATCAGGCAACATTCAAATACATTTATTTTTCTGGACAGAATTATCATTGTGTGCTAATTTCTCAGCTGATCTTTCTGGATAGGTATCTTGACTTCATAAGAGTTCCATGTCAATTGCTGTATAATCTCTTGTATCACTTAGTGCACACTTCCTTTTTTGTCACTGAGAATTCCCCTCTTCAGATTGCCAACACTAATGGCAGTATGACTAAGTAAAGCTGAGACATTTAGAGCAAAATTCAGTATTGGTGTGACCAAACTAACCTTTATGGAAGTGTGCCAACTCCTGAACTGTCTTTAAAAGCACAAAAAGTATTTGTTTCTCACTCAGGCAACAGCCAACAGAGATTGTCTTCATACTCTTGTACTTCTCCACTGGAAAACAAATATGTAACTATATACAGGTATACACTGTAACACTGAAGGACAAGATCCTCAAAGTTACACTGAGAAGAGCTTTATGTAGCTCATTTAAGTTAGATCACATGGGACTCTGTTGTATATGTTCTATATTCAGAGAAGATTTTGTCTTCATTTAGTTTCTGTTGCTCATGAGTTACAAAAGGTCCACACTGCAGAGCTGATTCGCATATCTTGTTATGGTATTGACTATGTAAGAGTAATACATTCTCCTTAAGTGCTATGACTCGAATCTTCTATGCATACACATTCAGATGATCTAGACTTCCCAGTATCTTTTCTTCAGCTGTCTGCTTGAACTTTCCTCTGCTCTCATCTTTCCTTCATTTCTCCTGTGGCCATTTCTGTTTCCTGTTGTCTGTCTTGCCATTTATAACTCTTTGTTTATGCGGAGATTATTATTGCAGTGAGGGTTTTTAAAAACAGCTTAGACAAGCATCCCTCTGGAATAGCATATAAATATTTGATCTTTTCTTTGAAGAGGGTGATGCACTAAAGGACCTGTTATTGTCCCTTCCAGTTCTGTAGTTCTGTGATTCAAAGTCCTTTATAGATTACTAGCTGTCATAGACTGAAAATAAAAAAATACGAGATAATAAAACTTATGGATACAAGGAATTTGGACTGTAACATATCTACATGCATTAATGCATGATATGTTTTCTTGGGGCAAGAATTCACCGCTGCTCAGGGTGGATAAAATTTATTTGTATTATGTTTCTGTATATTTGGAAAACTAACATGAGAAAGAATTTCATGAAAAAAAATAGGTATTATGTGGGGAAAGGTGGTATGTTGCAAAGCCCTCAGTCATGTTTAGACAACTGTTAGGTTATTACCATTTGGTTTTGCTGAATAAAACCAGGATGCTTATGCTGTCTTTCTATGCACATTTAAAATATTCTGTCTTTAACAGCTATATTATTTTTATCCTGCAGCTAATATGACTTCAGAGGGATTGAAACTGAAGGATATTATTTTGGTTCATCTGTATATGAAGAGCATGAAAGATTTCAATGTTATAAATTCAGTTTATGTGACAGAATTTGATTTGTGTCCACCAGTAAGGTACGTATAGACTACTGCTATACTATATTTATGATACACTGTAATATACTGAATTATTGTTACCATATTTATGAAGCTTTTGTCCACATGTTTGTGCCTCACAGACTTAGGAGTAGACTTTTGCTGCCTTTTGGAATAATCATATCAGGCCTGCTCAACTCAAAAATGCTAGGGTTGGAAATTCTTGCCTTAATATATACCATAAGGTTTATAAATGTCCCCCCTATATGGACTTACAGAAGAATAATACATTTTTTGTAAGTCTCAGTTCTTCTCTGTGACTTGATTGAAGTGACAACTCTTTTGTATTGGTGGGATTTTATTTGCTTTTCTTGTTTGTTTGCCTCCCTTGAACTGCTGGCAATGCTCCTCTGAATGCAGCCAGGATATCATCAGCCCTCTTTGTCACAAGGGCACATTGCTGGCTCATGTTCAACTTGGTGTCCATCAGGAACCTCCAGGTCCTTCTCTGCAAAGCTGCTTTTGAGCCAATTGACCCCCAGAATATACTGGACCATGGGTTTGTTCCTCCCCAGGTGCAGGACTTTCACCTTCTCCTTGCTGAACTTCATGAAGTTCCTGTGTGCCTGTTTCTCCAGCCTGTCAAGGTCCATCTGGATGGCAACACAAATTTGTGGTGTATCAGCCATTCCTCCCAGTTTTGTATCGTCTGCAAACTTGCCAAGGGTACACTCTGCCCCATCATCCTGATTATTAGTGAAGATGTTGAATAGGACTGCACCCAGTATAGACTCCTGGGGTACACCATTAGTTACTGGCCACCTGCGAGACTTTGTGCCACTGATCTCCACCCTCTGGACCTGGCTGTTCAGCCAGTTTTCAATCCACCTCACTGTCTATTCATCCAGCCCTTACATCAACAGCTTCTCTGTGAGGTTGTTATGGGAGACATTGTCAAAAGCCTTACTGAAGCCTTACTATCAGTGATTAAGTCTTCCTAAAAGTGATGAGGTTTGGAACCTTCTAGGTCCTTGTGACAAACCTTATTCACCTTGTTCCATTTATTGTGTTAAATACAAAAGCAAAATTGTTAGCTGAGGAGGTGCCCGAGATGCACAGCATGAGATACTGGGAGTTATTTCAAGACAGTACCAATATATACTTACTCTGTTCCTTTTCTTCCTCTGCTTATATGCACTTGGCTGTGGTTGAAGATGAATACTGGACTAGATGGATCTTTGGCTTGCTCCATGTGGTTGTTCTTAATGTCTTGTGTTTCTGTCAGATAATGATTGTTAGTGGGTAGCTTACCTGCACTTATGTATTCAATAAGAATGCAAGTATGAAAAGAAATTTCAGACTTCTTAGTACACTGATACTGACACTTTCATTCATAGATCCCCAAATCATAGCTTTTTAATATCTGTTGTACAGAATCTTCAACGTTGCATCCAAGTCCACCTCTGATATAATGAAAAAGCTTGATGGTCTATGTATGCAGTATGTGATTCCTGCGTTATTTGGGTGTGTTGGGTATTTTTCCGTTGGAAGTTGGATAACAAACACCTAGCCCATGAAATTTTTGTTCTGTTTTTTGAAAAGTTGTGTGTTAAAACGAATTTTAAAATTATAAATTCTTTATTGCCTTTGTCAAAAGGGCTTATTTCTTATTACAGTAATTCATATTCTTAAGCATCTGAGATAATATGCTCAGTATGCAGAACTGCTATAGCTTGAAAAATGCAACTTGGATCATAGGTTAATACAGGTTGGAAGGGACCTCTGGAGGTCATCTAGTCCAATCCCCTGCTCAATGCAGGGCCAACTATGAGGACAGACCTCATGTCTTGTTCATATTTTTAAAATCAACTGTTTAGCAATTTTCTAATGTAAAATACTATATTTTATACTGCTGTTACAGAATATGAAGTGTAATATAGGCGTGTGAATTTTAAGTATGGCATGACAAATCGTTAAAAGACATGTTTAAGATAATGTATATCATCATAGATTCACATTCTCCTACACTGCCTGGGTGTTAGAAGAGACTAAAAGAGAGTAGGAAGAGGCTGCTTCAAGATGCTGATTGTAGGCCAGGATTACAAAATCACAGAGGGATGGAGTGTTGGTTGTGTGTGCCTTCAGAGGAGGGATCTAGTCCCAGCTGTAAACTACACAAAAGGAATCTCCACTCTTGTGTATCTTAAGTTCACTTTATGACACTTAACTTCTCCCGATTTAGCTTCATTTCTCATGCTGCTGCATGTTTTAAGCCTCCACATTTGCATAGCCAGCCACATAGTCTTCCATCACTGAAATAACAGGTAGGAAGATTAGGAAGTTGCAGGAAAATGGCTTTTTATGATTATTTTTATGGAACAAACAGATTTATGTTGCATTTTGTCCAGAAGAAAAATTATACAGCAGTTTGCATGGCTGCATCATTGCATTATACACAGAGACCTGGTTGTGGGAGTTCTCACAAGCAATATGCTGGAAGCACTGACTCAGGGGTGTGGATCTGCACTAAATTTGCAAAATTGTCTTGAAAATTTACCAGCCCAAGCAGAAAATCCATTCATCCATGCTTATGATGATGGTAATGAGGAAAAAATACTGTATTTGCATGTTGGAGGAGGGGAGAAATACAGTTTTCTTGGAAGAAATAAGCAGGATGGGAAGAATTTTGTCAGGTTATGTTATATGATATGTGAAGAGAACAAGTAATTTTTTGTTGGACTCCTGCTGGGAGCTAAATGACTTTTTTATGCATGGACTGCAAATAGAATTATTTTTCAGGCTTTGAAACGCTGATTCCCCCCACCCGCCTCTGCTTTTTCACTGGCCGCGTGTAATAGACTGTCTGTGCCTTTGTCCATCCAGGCACTCAGTCTTCCTTGGAGTAAACAAAAGTGAACTTTTTAAATGAATGCTTAAGTAGGTTTTCAGTTCTGTCATAAGTGTGTGTCTGTCATGCAACAGAAAAACATGCTCAGTATTGCACGATAACATGTGAGAAGGGTATAAAGGGACAATAAGCTGCTGCTTTTTAGAAACCTGAACCTCTAGTCCAACCACTGGAAGGCAATTCAGTGGAAAATGTGTGGAGGTAAGAATATGACAATGATACGCTCAGTCTGAAGGCTGCTTAGCATAACTTATCTTGCATTTCCAGAGTTGTGTGGTCAAGGTTTTTTTTAATTAAAACGCTCATGTATTCTTAAAAAAGTAATACACATCATAAAAATAACCAAATGGAAATGAGCCGTTGGCTATTGGTGCTAGTTTCGCCTTGGTAATGGAAGTTACCTTGCTGGAAGTCTGAAGTTGATCATTGTTTGGAGAGGACATAACAGTGTAAATGCTAGCAGGTTATTGCGATACCATAGCTTTTGTTTTATGTTCCTGACAAAATTTCAAAATATAGTATCCAAACAAAAACCCCATGGCAAATAAGTGCTGAAAGTTGGTGCAAGCAAACTTTCTATTAGAAAAAAATAATTGTCTTGTGTTTTCAGAGTATGTGTGGAAACCCTGTTACCTGATGGAGTACTGTTTTGCATTGACTGCCTTGCACATAACTATGACATTGCAACGGATGATGTGTTATGTGATGAAAAACTGGTCATGCATGTACAGAGCATTTCCCACTGGGCACCTGCTAGCATAGGACCTTACAGTCAGTCCATCAAGGTAGGGAATCTTTGATACTTCACGTGAACTGTATGTCGGTTTACTGAAATGAGTACAGTTATAAAGTCTCTTTCTCTCCCATCTGAATGTGCAGAAGAAAACGTGTAAAAAAAAGAGAAAATTAAAAATGAGCATTTTGAATTTATGTTTTTAAAACTTATGGACAAAACAAACAGTTAACCTGCATCAGTCTTTCATTTTGTGATCATAAGACAGGTTAAATTACTCTTTGCAGAGAATCTCAAGAACAGCCTACTTTTGTTGTATATTACAATTAGACCGAATAATTGTGTCACACATACACTTTTATAATCTCCCTAGAATATAAACACAGTTTAGGAACATCCGAAGATATTTGAAATTTGTTTGTCTAAAGCGAGCAAGTTCAAACTTTTTTATAGGTAAGTCAATCCTAAAATGCTTATTTAGTGAAAACCCTTTTGAGGCTCTTGGTATTGCTTAACCATTTAAAAGTATGGCAAGGTTGAAGAACTGTTTTTTCCAAATTAATAACAAACCAAATAGAATATGACATACTATTTAAAGTATGATAAGGAGGCAGTAAAGTATCATGGAAAAGTGGACCAAAAATTTGAATAAAAAGCTTTTTCCTAATACAGTACCTCTTGTCCGGCTAGTACCGTTCTTTCAATTGATGAAGTGTCTCACATTTTCTGTTGCAAAAGATAGAATCATAGAATCGTTTAGGTTGCAAAAGACCTTTAAGATCATCCAGTGCAACCATTAACCTACACTACCAAGTCCACACTAGACCAATCAAGGGTAGACTAGACTAAACCATGTCCCGAAGTGCCACATCTACCCATTTTTTGAACGTTTCCAGGGATAAATGTATGTATCCCTTTCTTAACAATACTCCTCTTGTGTAATACGTTGTCCAGTCCAAATTATTGTGTTGTGCAAGCTGATTTAAGGAACATGTCATGGCATCTGTTTAAATTTCCTGGAACTTATTTGAGTCTGCCAACCCACCTAGTGTAATGTCCATGGAATTGTACTTTATTTTGTCTTTGTATCCTTTTATGGAAAATTTCAGGAATAATATGTTGCTTCAGAAGCTCATGTGGAATTTGTTTCATTTGCAGGAGGAAATGATGGTAGATAACTACCAACAGTTAGTTGGTACCAACAGTTTTAATTTTCTTTTGCCAGATTTTGCCTTACTACTACCACCAATATGTTTCATCTGAGTATCAATATTTAACGTTAACCTGTTTTTATCTTGCTAAGAATCTTTGACTTGGTAATGTATTTCTATTTTGCAGAGCTTGATCCAGTAAACATCAGAAGAATATTCTTTTTTTTTATTTCAGTAAAAGTGTTTTATATTTAAATTTTTTTTCTTTCTAAAATAGTATATAAAAGATACAACCTATAAAACCTTTTGATAAGAATACATCATAGGGGAATGTGTAAGTGCATAAACAAAGTATTTGCATTTAAAAATTTATGAATGGAAGATATGCATCTTGTATCTTCTGAAACATGAATTTTCCAAACTTAAAATCTTCTTTAGGTGGCTTTTCAGGACTTCCTTGGACTATGTATCAGCAGGTATTAAGCTCTTAAGGTCACCAGTGGAAGTAAAGCACTTCAGTATGTTTTAGGTATAGAAATGTATTTTCCAGAATAAATAAGGAAGGAGCAAAGGTGTATTTTTAATCTTTATAGTCAACAAAAACTATTTGAAATTATAGTAATTTTATGATGATGAAATGTTGATAGTTTGTATGCTTGAGGAACAGAAGCTTAATGATCTTAAAGCTCAGTGAGGAGTGGTTGCACCTTAGAGGCAGGTAGGCTTTGGGATGGAGGTGTGTTTTGGTATTATAATGGTATTATAATGAGCAAAGTTTACCAAAGGGCAGCATTTTCTGAAAACCGTGACAGGTTGTTGGCCCAGGGTCTCATATTATACCCTTTCCTATTGTCCTTCATTCATCCATCGTTTGCCCAAGTTCTCGCAGTGTTCCATTATACTGCACTCTGTTCCTTTGGTAAGTACATCTACAATAAATTGTTTGCCATGTTCTGGCACAGTCAGGACTATACAGGGACTAAAAGCAGCAGACATAAGGCGACAAACGCTTCGTCTTTTCATGTCCGTAGATAGACCAAGTCTCTGGGCTTGATGGAGTGTACTGGGGAATCCAAGGGCACAGGAGCTGCCCCAGCTGGGCGGAATGCTTCACGGCAGTCCCATCCAGGGTGCCACACAGGGCCTGGCCGTGGTGTCTCCACACCTCTCCACCCTCCAGGCAGTTCCTCTTAGAGCCAACACACCAAGTTCCCCTGGTGTTGCCGACGTCTAAGGTTGCAGGCCCAGGGAAATTCCATGAAATGGATTCCTTGCATGCCAGCTGCACTCCACCCTGGAGGCTTCTTCAGTGCTGTGCCTTTCCTAAAATTGTGAATCTAAGTTTAATCTCTAAATCCCCTCCAGCAATTACTCCACACCCTTATGCTGAGTATCTGTAGATTTTGTTTGTAATTTGCTTGATAACAACTGGACAATTAAATTGTTGTCTTTTCAGTCCAGTATGAAGTTTTGTGGACATTGGGGAATCATCATGTATTTTAGCACAGTGTTTTTGCTCAGTTCAGAATAGGCCAAGGACTGTAATATTCAGGGTATTGCAAGTTGGGATTGATGTGCACTGGCATGTAAGAGTATGAGCTGGCCCTGGAAAGGTGTAGGTAGTTCATGCAAACTATGGAATTCATACTTTGGGCTCAACAAATCACTCAGCAGAGCATCACTTTAATTCTGTAGGGACCTTGCAGGATCCTGCCAACAGTACTATAAGGGCAAAAAGTAAAAATTTGAAATCAGAATAATAGAATCATAGAATCGTTTAGGTTGGAAAAGAC